GTGTACACCTAGGGTCTTTAAACGTGTATGTATAGATATCGGTTACGCCTTGTGTGTAAATAGTAACACGCCTACTGACAGCGTGAGTCATTGAAAAAATACATGTATGGGGAAGGTTTTAGTTTAAAGGGAGATCAATCTTACACTCCAAGTATCATATCGCTGTATTGATATTATTTCTATGTAATTTCACAGAAAGAATAGAAGAACTGAATATCTTATTTCTCCCGTTAATCATTCGATAAAGTCTAGACATTCCTTGCCAACCATTAGATACATGTATAAGTGGTGTCAAATTTAAATAAATAAATAACCTTTGGGATCGAGGTACGAAGTTAGTTAGAAAATGCCCGTAATTTATTTTATTCCTCTGTGGATTTTGGGAGAAGTGAAACCGATCTTTTAGGAGTGGAAACATATACCCGCTCACTATCTTGACAGGTACATGTTTATTTACGAATATTAACTGTTTCCATCTGGGTTATATTTCATGTCATTATCACAATGATCATTGTTTTACCTTCAACAGTTAACATTTAAGTCATTTTGTTTTGTTTTGGGACAAGTTTATTTTCCATATTCAAATAAATAAAAATACAACAAAATAAGCATTTATCAAGCTGTCCTTAATGCTTGGTGCAATTCAACTTTGCGCTATTTTGCTTGGCAAACCGTATTTCAAGCGAGGTGGTCATGAAATCAGAAAGAAATGCCAATCGTCACCATCAGATAAACAACATTTTCTGGCATCATTTTGTATAAAGTTATTGTGTACTGATGCCCTAACGCTGATGTCCATCATGTGTGAACTCGTTTTAATCGTTGCACATGCGCGATATATGTATGTTGACGTTACCGTGATGCATGTCACGGTCCAACATCGGTACGTGTACCAGTGTGGTGCCTGATCATGAGTGGTTTATGGTGTCTGATGTCCAACATCGGTACGTGTACCAGTGTGGTGCCCGAGTGGTTTATGGTGTATGATGTCCAACATCGGTACGTGTACCAGTGTGGTGCCTGATCATGGGTGGTTTATGGTGTATGATGTCCAACATCGGTACGTGTACCAGTGTGGTGCCTGATCATGGGTGGTTTATGGTGTCTGATGTCCAACATCGGTACGTGTACCAGTGTGGTGCCTGATCATGAGTGGTTTATGGTGTCTGATGTCCAACATCGGTACGTGTACCAGTGTGGTGCCTGATCATGGGTGGTTTATGGTGTCTGATGTCCAACATCGGTACGTGTACCAGTGTGGTGCCTGATCATGAGTGGTTTATGGTGTCTGATGTCCAACATCGGTACGTGTACCAGTGTGGTGCCTGATCATGGGTGGTTTATGGTGTCTGATGTCCAACATCGGTACGTGTACCAGTGTGGTGCCTGATCATGAGTGGTTTATGGTGTCTGATGTCCAACATCGGTACGTGTACCAGTGTGGTGCCTGATCATGGGTGGTTTATGGTGTCTGATGTCCAACATCGGTACGTGTACCAGTGTGGTGCCTGATCATGAGTGGTTTATGGTGTCTGATGTCCAACATCGGTACGTGTACCAGTGTGGTGCCTGATCATGGGTGGTTTATGGTGTCTGATGTCCAACATCGGTACGTGTACCAGTGTGGTGCCTGATCATGAGTGGTTTATGGTGTCTGATGTCCAACATCGGTACGTGTACCAGTGTGGTGCCTGATCATGGGTGGTTTATGGTGTCTGATGTCCAACATCGGTACGTGTACCAGTGTGGTGCCTGATCATGAGTGGTTTATGGTGTCTGATGTCCAACATCGGTACGTGTACCAGTGTGGTGCCTGATCATGGGTGGTTTATGGTGTCTGATGTCCAACATCGGTACGTGTACCAGTGTGGTGCCTGATCATGAGTGGTTTATGGTGTCTGATGTCCAACATCGGTACGTGTACCAGTGTGGTGCCTGATCATGGGTGGTTTATGGTGTCTGATGTCCAACATCGGTACGTGTACCAGTGTGGTGCCTGATCATGAGTGGTTTATGGTGTCTGATGTCCAACATCGGTACGTGTACCAGTGTGGTGCCTGATCATGGGTGGTTTATGGTGTCTGATGTCCAACATCGGTACGTGTACCAGTGTGGTGCCTGATCATGAGTGGTTTATGGTGTCTGATGTCCAACATCGGTACGTGTACCAGTGTGGTGCCTGATCATGGGTGGTTTATGGTGTCTGATGTCCAACATCGGTACGTGTACCAGTGTGGTGCCTGATCATGAGTGGTTTATGGTGTCTGATGTCCAACATCGGTACGTGTACCAGTGTGGTGCCTGATCATGGGTGGTTTATGGTGTCTGATGTCCAACATCGGTACGTGTACCAGTGTGGTGCCTGATCATGAGTGGTTTATGGTGTCTGATGTCCAACATCGGTACGTGTACCAGTGTGGTGCCTGATCATGGGTGGTTTATGGTGTCTGATGTCCAACATCGGTACGTGTACCAGTGTGGTGCCTGATCATGAGTGGTTTATGGTGTCTGATGTCCAACATCGGTACGTGTACCAGTGTGGTGCCTGATCATGGGTGGTTTATGGTGTCTGATGTCCAACATCGGTACGTGTACCAGTGTGGTGCCTGATCATGAGTGGTTTATGGTGTCTGATGTCCAACATCGGTACGTGTACCAGTGTGGTGCCTGATCATGGGTGGTTTATGGTGTCTGATGTCCAACATCGGTACGTGTACCAGTGTGGTGCCTGATCATGAGTGGTTTATGGTGTCTGATGTCCAACATCGGTACGTGTACCAGTGTGGTGCCTGATCATGGGTGGTTTATGGTGTCTGATGTCCAACATCGGTACGTGTACCAGTGTGGTGCCTGATCATGAGTGGTTTATGGTGTCTGATGTCCAACATCGGTACGTGTACCAGTGTGGTGCCTGATCATGGGTGGTTTATGGTGTCTGATGTCCAACATCGGTACGTGTACCAGTGTGGTGCCTGATCATGAGTGGTTTATGGTGTCTGATGTCCAACATCGGTACGTGTACCAGTGTGGTGCCTGATCATGGGTGGTTTATGGTGTCTGATGTCCAACATCGGTACGTGTACCAGTGTGGTGCCTGATCATGAGTGGTTTATGGTGTCTGATGTCCAACATCGGTACGTGTACCAGTGTGGTGCCTGATCATGGGTGGTTTATGGTGTCTGATGTCCAACATCGGTACGTGTACCAGTGTGGTGCCTGATCATGAGTGGTTTATGGTGTCTGATGTCCAACATCGGTACGTGTACCAGTGTGGTGCCTGATCATGGGTGGTTTATGGTGTCTGATGTCCAACATCGGTACGTGTACCAGTGTGGTGCCTGATCATGAGTGGTTTATGGTGTCTGATGTCCAACATCGGTACGTGTACCAGTGTGGTGCCTGATCATGGGTGGTTTATGGTGTCTGATGTCCAACATCGGTACGTGTACCAGTGTGGTGCCTGATCATGAGTGGTTTATGGTGTCTGATGTCCAACATCGGTACGTGTACCAGTGTGGTGCCTGATCATGAGTGGTTTATGGTGTCTGATGTCCAACATCGGTACGTGTACCAGTGTGGTGCCTGATCATGAGTGGTTTATGGTGTCTGATGTCCAACATCGGTACGTGTACCAGTGTGGTGCCTGATCATGAGTGGTTTATGGTGTCTGATGTCCAACATCGGTACGTGTACCAGTGTGGTGCCTGATCATGGGTGGTTTATGGTGTCTGATGTCCAACATCGGTACGTGTACCAGTGTGGTGCCTGATCATGAGTGGTTTATGGTGTCTGATGTCCAACATCGGTACGTGTACCAGTGTGGTGCCTGATCATGAGTGGTTTATGGTGTCTGATGTCCAACATCGGTACGTGTACCAGTGTGGTGCCTGATCATGAGTGGTTTATGGTGTCTGATGTCCAACATCGGTACGTGTACCAGTGTGGTGCCTGATCATGAGTGGTTTATGGTGTCTGATGTCCAACATCGGTACGTGTACCAGTGTGGTGCCTGATCATGAGTGGTTTATGGTGTCTGATGTCCAACATCGGTACGTGTACCAGTGTGGTGCCTGATCATGAGTGGTTTATGGTGTCTGATGTCCAACATCGGTACGTGTACCAGTGTGGTGCCTGATCATGGGTGGTTTATGGTGTCTGATGTCCAACATCGGTACGTGTACCAGTGTGGTGCCTGATCATGAGTGGTTTATGGTGTCTGATGTCCAACATCGGTACGTGTACCAGTGTGGTGCCTGATCATGGGTGGTTTATGGTGTCTGATGTCCAACATCGGTACGTGTACCAGTGTGGTGCCTGATCATGAGTGGTTTATGGTGTCTGATGTCCAACATCGGTACGTGTACCAGTGTGGTGCCTGATCATGGGTGGTTTATGGTGTCTGATGTCCAACATCGGTACGTGTACCAGTGTGGTGCCTGATCATGGGTGGTTTATGGTGTCTGATGTCCAACATCGGTACGTGTACCAGTGTGGTGCCTGATCATGAGTGGTTTATGGTGTCTGATGTCCAACATCGGTACGTGTACCAGTGTGGTGCCTGATCATGAGTGGTTTATGGTGTATGATGTCCAACATCGGTACGTGTACCAGTGTGGTGCCTGATCATGAGTGGTTTATGGTGTCTGATGTCCAACATCGGTACGTGTACCAGTGTGGTGCCCGAGTGGTTTATGATGTCTGACCAGCTATGATCAGAAAGCTCAAAGTGTTCGTGCTCGGTATTACCCACTTTAATTAACGTAACGAGGTTTTGACGTTCTGAAGTAATCCCACTGTTTGTTACAGGGTTATGTCTCCATTGAAGTTTTTAAAAACGTAATGAGCAGAATCTTTAATAGTTTCCCGTTTTATATTTTTTGAATTTCACTCGTGTGATACTGATGTATACTTCAATATTTTGAAATACATGTAACATTTGTCACTCGAGTGACTCTGAATATAATTTGTATGTAAGAGTTGCATGAGTAATGTTGTTATATTTAATTTTACATATAGTAAAGATGACTGCAAACAAAGGAAAATGCTAAAAGGAGGAGGCGAAATTTAAAATCAACAATTGTTTTATTACGCACAAAATATAAATATCACAAAATACACTGAACAGACAACATATCGTATTAATGACAAACTCAATATTAACAATATTCCTTAGATTATAACCGGTAAAATGTAGGATCACAATTTCCGAAGACTACATGTACAATGTACTTACTTAACGCAAAGAAAAATTGCCATTTTCTTTATTTTAAAACACACAACTAAATTCTTCTGAATGGATTTACACTGACAACTTGGAATTTAAAACTCACAAACAAAAGGTTGAATGAAACAGAAATCTGATGAACCTTAAAAGTAATTTATTATACGAAAAAGCTAAGGAAGCCATGTCCGTAAATTAAATAGTGTCAAACTGACGTCATCAAATACTGAAGTTCATCACACTAAATAGATTACATCGACTATGTAATCTAATACATTGTTATGCAATGGTCTGCATTTCTTTATAACATTCTCAGAATTTAGTTGACCGAAACTTCTGTGCTTGAGCTAAAGGTGACCAACAATTCAAACGATATTATTACAGTATCATAATGTCACTACTGTGAAATACTTGTTTAAGATCTTTTTCTAAAAGAAATAATCCATCCATACAAATCACAAATTACTATGCATATCACAGAATTATAGTTGCTCAAAGTTAGAATGTTTGAAACAAGAATATAAAATGAAAACAGAAAAACTGCAGGGGTCGAACTCGGGACCTTTATTTTGCAAATGTACACTTGCCCAATGACGCCACTCAGGTTAATTTGGGTCTCTAAACCTGTGGAAAATCTTGACAGAGAAGTTACTCTAAGCTAGAATCAACTCCGTAGCTTCATCTGATATAGAGAAGGGAGACTACTCCAGGTCAAAATACTCCAAGTGGAACTCTTCTATACGACAATACATCTGTAACTGATGACGAGGTACCCTAACGTGTATTATTGTTACAATTTGATATTATACTTTCGTTTCAGATTGTTTTTTCTCAAACAGACATGTATGCCAAAACCTCTTTATGATATACCTAACCCCCTGTGATTGGTCTGTAAAGTTTGCCACTATATATATCGTATGCAATATTAGGCATACAGGTATTTTTCATTTACCAAATAAAACAGAAAACACAAATCTTAAATGGAGAAAGAATAATCTCCAAAAGAAAGGGTAAAAGTAAGTAAGGCAGTTTGGCAAATGAAAATGAGGGAACCCTATCTGGTAAATCACTCACATTTCACGTATTTTGATACCGACTGCTTACTCTCTAATCTAGACCCTTTATCACAGAAAACTCACCGGGATCACATTGCTTGTCGACATTGGAGTACAATGTAAAGAACCCTCTATAAATTACATTATCAACAAACATTATATACATTTGAAAAATTCCTCCAAGCTCCAATCAACTCTCACAATCTCAAACTATGAGTTTCATCTCATCAGCGCACAAAAGCATTCTTACACAAATATTCCCACCAAACGTTATAGCAATGCAAAGTAAGGGTTTATGCGAGAAATGTTTCCATGACGAAATGAAGGTCAATGAAGGTTGTGGACGAGGAGTTTGGCACATGCACGAGTGATGTGACGTAATGTGGATGGAACAAGGTCAGCAACATCTCACATGACGTTATTCCACGGTCAGTTTCCTCCCACAAGAACTAAATCCAGGGACAGTGTCATCTCACTCTGGGTTCATCATTATCATGGCGTAAAACTCTACAACATAAAAAATCGTGCATTCTGAACTACCTTAAAGCGAAAAAATAAATTGTATTTAAGGTTGTATCGCCTCCTTTCGATAAGAGTTCACCCCTCAGCAGACTGTAAAATATCTGTTATAGTTATTGGGACTATACTGATGACACTTTTGACATTTACACAAGAGTGAAAGATACTTTTATAATTTTGGATATATAAAATTGTACATGATGAATTCAAAAAAACAAATCGTTCATTCCTACCTTTGTAGTTGACCTTGCCGTCGCCATCTTTGTCTGCCTCCCTGATCATAGCCTCGACCTCGATCTCTGTGAGTCGCTCCCCCATCATGGCCATTACTTCCTTCAGTTCCCGAGGACCGATGAAGCCGTCGCCGTTTTTGTCAAATATCGTAAACGCCTCTCTGAGCTCTACGTCTAACTCTGTCTCGTGTATTTTGTTCATCATCATCTCCACAAACTCCTCAAACTCAATAGAACCACTCCCTGTAGCAAAGAAATACAAGACATTAAAGTCAAACCCATCATACATGTAATTTCAAATGGGTTTAGTAATTTTGGATGAACAGTGTTGGCTGTTTTTTCAACCGCCTGAGAAATAAAAGATTGTCTCTGCCATCGCTGTTTGTTGCTATGACGTTGAAGACGAGAAAATGCAACATGACGATATTCAATGATCGGACTAGATAACTGTGTAACAAACGGAATGGAAAAGGTCTAGACCGATGACAAACGTACATTCTGATCATGATTAAACCAAAAAACATAATGGATCCATTGTCAAGAGGACACTTCCGCTATCGGTCTATACATCTAGTTCAAGGCTTATAATGTCATTTCAAAAGTTTTGAAAAAAAAGTTTCTATATCATTTTATTTTTATTTTTTATTCACAACAACACAATTTATTTTATTTATTTTTTATCAATGCGTGGCGCATTGGATTTGGCGTTTAACCAATCAGAGGGCGTGTATCAAATTCCTCTCCCTTCTCCCCTTGCTTGCTATAACGTGTTCTTAATTGGTCTGTCTTGGCATTGACCATTTATTCAATCTAGTGAAAAATCTTGTTGTAAATAAAATTAAATTATAGCTATATGTACAAGATTCTGGTTTTCAAACTTTGTTAAATATAACAATGTTATGAAGCTTTGAAAAACTTTGTCTAAGTCACGTGACACGTACCATCCTCGTCGACCTCATCAACCATGTGCTCGAGTTCCGTCTCGGACGGCTCCTGTCCCATGCCCCGGAGGACATCCCCCAACTCCTTAGTCGTAACACTTCCGGTCTTATTGAGGTCAAACATGTTGAAGCCTTCACGGAATTCTACATCCAACAAGACAAGCGTATTTATAACGGAAGTGGTTAATGTGAGAACCCTGTCTTCTTATTTATATAGAAGCATAATCGTTGAGAGATAGAAATCAACTCGTATGATAAGGGAGAACCCTGGCTGATGCCAATTTTAAAAACGTGATATTTTTGTTTTTAGCTTTCGGCACATGTAGGGCATTTTTGTTCATTTTACAATGAAATTAGATAAGGGTATACATATATATCCTTGGTAAATATTTTATAATCAATTCACAATAATGTGCATACAAACTTCTGCATCTAAACTCCGATAAAATTTTAATTTGACTTATTTCTGATGTTTCCTGGACATAATACAGGTATCTGAGTACAGATGTATCTGAAAAACATCTCTTTCAGTAGCAATACAATAACTGAAATAATTATGATGTCTACGACGTGAATATGAACATAAAATTAAAAACAAAAAAAAATGTCAGTTTTCTGTAATATTCAATAGTAATTAAGCCATTCATTGATGGACACATTTTAAATATATATGTTTTATTATTGTATCGTAAAATCTGTAATTATATATGTGTTTGACAAGTTGATTAAAACTAATGACTGATTGACTAACACCTACAGACTTGTACATGTATAGTAGTTTGTTTATTTGTTTTTTCGAGTGGTTTTACCGAGTAGTTCGGTTATCCAGCACACAGGGACCTGATGATTTGTTACATTTATTTATTGAGCTATATTTGGACCTAAACTAAGGTGTCATTTTTACCGAAAGTCGATCTAAACTAAGGTGTTCAAAGCAATTTTACATGTTTAAAGGATTTAGAACGACTTTCGGTAAAAATGACACCTTAGTTTAGGTCCAAATATAGCTGTAACAAATTATCAGGTCCCTGTGATCCAGCAGTATTGGTACTATTGTAATATACCAAATTACTTATACTGTACCTGTGAGCTGGGCTTTTGTCGGGGGAGGCCATTTTGCCGACTAGAAACAGAAAAGTTATATAAATGAACAATATTAAGTTACATCAGGCAAAGTAAACAAGACTACGTTTCCTAGCGCATTACATTGTACATAACTCAGGAAAACTACTGTTGTTTCTTTAATGTACTTTTTTTGCACTTTTGTGTCCTTTATATTTTATGAAAATAATATATATTTATTTTACAATAAATATGAAACCTGTTATTTCAACTTATATTAATCACTGTTGTTAAGGGGGGAGGGGGTCTTAATGTGGGAAGAAAACGAAGAACCAGGAGAAAATCCACGTGGTGCCCCATATCATATTTCACGTCCGATCGGGGAATCGAACCCCCGCCGAATTGGTTGATTAAACTACTAATATCAGTTCATATGTTGAGTGTCGAGGCACACAGAGGTTAGGTTGATAGATACAGGTAATTCACATTGCTTGCCCAATGTCACTTAAAATTGAAATTGAAAATCGTATTATGATACACCACACAACACCCGTAAACAGAAATATTTAAATTACAATATAAAAATGAGAAACCTAATACCGATATTCTAGACTTGTGTGTACAATGTAGGAAATCGCTATTGATCCCCAACCCCTTAAAAGAAATATCGGACTTGAGCAAGTCTCTTGGGCATGCAATGCAAGTCGTAGCCTCGCTTTCGTCGTCAGCTTGGGTTGATCACTTGTGATTTTATGCCTTGATATAGAGTACATATTTGAGTAGAGTATACACACAGGACTGACCGAGTTATTGACCACATCTAGGGAAAATAGAGATCGTGTGTCTCCGAAGGTCACAAACATCAATATACGTAGTTCAATGACACATAGGATTTCAAAGAACCAAGTTTTAGATTTACTCTTAAAATATACATCAAAAGTCGTATAAGTTAAGGTCGATTTTCACAAGCTTTGAATAACTTCTAAAAGGATTTTTAGTATTCAATATTTTCTAACGCCGTACCAGTATTTACCAAACATCACGTGTTAAAAGTCCAGAGTTCCGTATCGGAAGTGTACATAGTGTAGATGTTAGAATGCAAATTGATTTACGACAAACAACAAATAAATCGAAACATTTGTCGAAACCGTATGTCGAGTTAAAATGTTTTCGTTTTAGCGACTCGCCTAAACTTATAGTCAAACTGAAAGGGACATCAGGACAATCACTGCTATCTTTGAGTCTGTGACTTATGTTTGAGGAAACATTCGAGATTAATTTCATCGTTCTTACTTTAGAAAACATTGACAATCGTTTGACGCCAACATTGCGGTCCTGCATTTGAACAGAAATAGTCTATAAACTTTTACTTTTCGCAAAAAAGAATTCAATTTTTCGGATGATATACAGAAATCTCGTATGGAATAAGAACGAATAAAAGATATTTCTAATCATACTCGTATTATAATTAAGTACATACATCTGGTGTAGTCGAAATGTCGTAAATAAGAATCTGAGATATGACCCCAGCTGTTGTGAGGACGCCGTGAGAACCCCAAACAAACACAATATCAACCAAATTCAGACCCAACGAACTTTTTGCTTAACCACACTACACCAATACAATACAAGGCAATCAGAAAATAAAAATGACGTCATAGTTGACACTCGGACATTTGAACGAATCAAAATATATTACTAATACACAACAGTACAGAAAGAGAACGCTATAACATTGGAGTTTAAATTCCGGTAGGTTGTTCTCATGACATCAAAAACACGATTATAAGAGCGTAGCTCTCGGGCGCCGAAGGCGAAGCTCTTTAATGGTAAAACATGCGTACGTAAACAGAGTTGCTTCCCCTTTCTACACTTTGCCTTTAAATGTTTTCGTCCGGAAGTAGACCTCCAGTGGGGAAAACGGAAGTGTATCCTTGAAGCAAAGACAATTGTGATTTAACACATACTTGAACATCTTCATATAGTGAAAGCAATCTTCATGTTTTATTACTTTTTTTAGATAAAATCTATATAATATACATTCTGAATGAAAAAAGTCCATCAAATACATATGCCAGACCACACACTTGTGTGTCTAACGAATCAGAAAGCACGAGTTTATTGCGCGGGCGAATATATTCACGAGTGCGCGGAGCTCAACGAGTGAATATATACGTCCGCGCAATAAATGAACTTTTCAGTTCGCCATGACAATGGTATTCCCATAAAATGTAGTTCCGGCTAGTAGGTAAATACAACATTCCGTATTGCACATGTGCAATACAGAACGTTGTATTTCATGGTCTGAAAATTGCTTGTATTACTATAACAAGATTCAACAGGTATGTGATAAAATGTGATACAAACAGGCATGAAACTTCGTTCAGAGATTATCATACTATGACGTCACAAACACGTCACACTCCATCGGCCTTCATCGGTTATTTCCGGAAGGATGAAAAATAACCTGAAAAACTTGGAACTGATGTCCGTTGCATTTATCTCCTTGTCGGTGCTTTATGACTTTTTTACTTCTTTTCTTGCCACAGGCACAAAAGGTAAAAATGCAGATATTTTCTGAAGATCATTTTTGTCATCAACCAGGCTCTGTTAATTTTTCTACTGGGAGATATCTTCAAAAAGAGCCGGCAATAAACCAATAGGTCAACGTGTACATTTATTTTTTCATCGTCTAAAATTCCATCAGCTTTTGATTTCCATTTGTTGAGAATATCAACGAATTAATTAACATTTATGAAAGTCTGGTTATACATGTAGTCTTTACATAATTTATGTATACATCACCACCACTCATCAAAGAAACAATGGATAATGCATTTATGTCGAAATCAACAATAATTTTCATAACAACCACCCCGAATTCAGAGCCCCTTTTTAGCAACGAATTACTTTTTCACAACACACGCCGATTTATAACTAGTTACAGACACAAACTGTTTAATTTTATTTGGCATATCCTTATCTGTCAAACCTCGATGACAGTAACAAAATGTGAAATTCAATCCGGTGTTTCAGGATGGAACAGGAATTGAGACTGCATATCGATATAACGACAACCTCAACATTACATCAAAATATTACAATGTTTTTTTGTTTTTTTTGTTTTTTTTTAACTTACATCTCAATACATGTATTTAGACTTATCGTTAAAAATATAATATGCACTTGTTTTCTAAAGCAACTGCCAAACATTTTCCCCAACTTATCTTGATAACTCTTTTTATGCCCTGACGGAAACATGCAGAGGATTTAATTCTTAATAAATGAGGAAGGCAGAGTATCCGGAGAAAACATGCGTTGTTGGGCAGGTGACCGGGATAGAATCCGGTCATCTTGGTGAAGACGAGCGCGCTATCCACTGCGCCACCGACCCATCATATACGTTACGCACAAGAACAAATATCTACTTTAGCTTTGACTGGAAGAAAACGGCGTCATTACTGCAAAGATAATATTGTTAATACATTTTTTCTAATCATCTATGATACAAAAATTCTCCATACGGGAGACCGGGGCAAGTTCGGTCACCCCTGATATTTCTGTTTTTTAGCTTATATTTACAACTTTGAGGCTCTTAGCAGTTCAGTTGACTGGGCTTTCACACGAAAAAATTGGCGAGGCAAACTCTTATGTACTGAATTACTAAGCAGGAGAAAATAACTTTTGAGAGGGTATAGAAAGAAAATCATGATCTCTATTCTGGTTATGCGAACTTTCCGTAAACGAAATATCCATGATTGTAATGTCGGTCTTAAGTCTCATTAAAACTCATGTTTTATTGTTATTCCTCGATTAGCCGACTTTAAAAAAGTTTATTTTATCTCATTCTGAAAGCAGTATATCTAATTCTGAAAGCTACGCTCTTTTTAGGCTTTGCCTTTTCACATTATTAACAAGCCAAAAGAACGAAGAATCGTAGGGTGAAGATATTGACGATAGTATTGTTTAACAGTATGACAAATTACATCAGTTGCCGATTTTTCATCGATTTTGTCGGTTTCAAATCCTCATGAGATCATTTTAAAATGTGGTAAATTTAGTAGTTCATTACACGCTCTTACTTTTAATCTGCATACTACGTAATACTTAATTAATTTCATAATAATATATTCTAGGGGTAACAAGTGTCATAAAGCCTAACGTATAGTACATGTATGTCGTCATAATTGACAATATGATACATGATGTATGACTTCATCGAATGAAAGGCACAAATGTTTGTGTATTTCTGATTGGTTTTGTGACCAATTGTGCAGTTTTTACAGGGAATAGGTAAACTGTATACATATAGTATATACAAATACGAAAATCACTTTCTGTAACCAATGGGAGTGTTTGACAATGTTACGTCCTTACAGCCGTTACAGCCATAAAAGACGGATGTCTGGTTCCGTACCTTTGCTGAAATTATAATAAACGTTTATAGTAAACACGCTGTAGCGATTTTCATAAAGTGTTTCAGAACGTGAACGTGTTCGAGATGATATTTTTCGATATAAAATGCTGATACATTGTACTTGGTTTGCGATGTGAGATAGATGAATCGAAACAGCTTCACTCTTCAACTTTTCATTTACTCCAGGAAAAAGAAAGTAAACAACAAAAACATAATAACAAGATACGGAGACGGAATACCATAATATACAAAAACGGTCAGTTCCGGATATTCTATTGATGGTTATAATATGATATATATACCATGTATACAACAATGTTCTGTATTGACGAAACGTATCAGTTTAACTTAAGTACATATGTTTTGATAAGGAATCGTCTGGTATATGAATTATAAATTACCAATACAATAAATGAATGATTGAAAATTATTACACGAGAGTTTTTGATTTATAACAATCACAGTTCTGTACTTACCATGTTGCGTTTCCAGTAAAATCCAGTAAACACGCGTGTGTATAATCACATATTTGCACACACGTCCTCAATGTAGGTATCAATGACGTCACAGCCACAAGGGAGCTTGTGTAGGCCCCGTTGGTACTGCGGAGTGTGAGATACTGTGATATCGGCTCCACGATCACACAGACATCATTCACGCATGTCAGACATGTTTTGTGTGTGACGGCTTCCGTCAGCTTGGTCTATTGAGAGGCGGACTTAGAGACTTTGTTGGTGACAAAGCTTTGATAATACGATACGAAGCTTTATACAGTCAATGCGTCTGTGTTTTGTTCGTCTGGGAGTATGTATACACACAATTCTTTAAATACATAGTCATTTAAAACAATGGACAGAACGCATTGTCCCCTTGGAATTAAACACGATACTTCTTGGTCAAACATCAAAGTAAAACGATTGGTAGTTAAATTATATGTTAGCGTGGTCAAAACATTACTCAATATCGGCCTGGTCTAGGCTATTTAGCCCCTATTACTTCCCCATAAAGGCGGATGAGGGTCAGCTAAAGGGGTTATGTCTCCACTTCACGTGCAGGATATACAATGTCTCCATAGATACATCTGTACCAACACAATTGGCTGTGTCGTGTCAAAAACTCGGGTGGGTGGATTATCATAGTTTGATATAGACAAAGACTATTGTTTTAAATCATTATTTTATTTGCTTATTCGCCTAGGAAATTTACACATTTGGTTGACAATATTCAGTAAGAATTCTGACTGTTATATTTTGATCTGTATAGATTTTAAGATTGTCTAACGTCTAAGATAAATCATGTCTTTAACTCGAATGGTTTCTGGTTTATATCTTACATTATGCAAATGTAGCGTCTGCAAAGGACAGTAGGCTAAGTATGAAACGTACTCTGTTATGTAGGTGTTGGCTATAAGCTCTCAAGTAATGTTTATGCGGATTGACCGTAAATAAAACCCGTGTTATATACATCACATACTTCACGTACGCATTATGTGTGTTGGGAGTTGTTTACGGATTAAACTGCTTAAGATCTGGCGATATTAAACTAGCACACATGGCGACTAAAGGGACATAACTCGTCAAGATTGACAACTGCGTCAACCATGTGGATCGAGAGTTCTTAAGTCAGCGCCACTGTGGTTTATCAAGATACAATGGATAAGCTTTAAATCCTAAGAAAGGACATGTAGACCGGTACATTAAAATCACAACCTAAAACTACGTTATGCACCTTTAATGTGTTGGGCTTGAAGATCGAGTCTTAAGCATCCATGCTATCAAATAGAAGTGACATCGGCGTCAAGTCGCATCCTCGAGATTTAATCGCTGGGTTATAACCACAGGGGCATGGATCGCTTTACTTGTAACATAAAAAATAGGGGTCTCCTATACTAATATATAACCTGGAAAAGGCCGAGCTCCCATTCCATAATCGTATTATTTCGAATCACGTGTCACCCTCAGTGGCGGATCCAGAGACCTATCTGGGTGGGTTTCCATGCTGGAAAAAATTGAGGAAAATGGTGAAAATATATGATTTTTAAAGAAAATTATCAGGTTGGGAGGGGGTTCCTGAAGCCCAAAAAACCCCTCTAGATCCGCCACCGACCCTGGTAAAATAGAAGCCACTTCCTGCCGACTCGGCCAGGGAAACATTCGGTAGAGCGTAAGGTCCATGGTTCGACTCCTATAAGGGGGAAAATGAAAATATAATGACCTCTGTTACACGTGGTCATTAAAAAAATGACGATAGGTAAGCTATGTGGATATCCTAACTTTTTAATTCATTTGCAACTCGCATATTCTTTCAGAATAGGTCCGCAATCGCCATCGGGGACAAAGTCCCTGAGTAATGGAAACGGTCGAGATCCCTATCACATAACAATGTTTACTTTCGCTAACAAGATTGTCCCGGAACAGAGCTTGAAAGGGTTGATGTTCCTACCCTAACCATTTAATAACTTTTTTGATGGGCTTGAAGATATGAACACAGTCATGCTTCCAGGGCGATAGGAGCTAACCGCTATTGGTCCTTGGGATTGTTTGACCCCCTCTGGGGGAGCAAGGACCCAATCAGGGTATTTGAGCATTTAAACTTTTTTCCTGTTAAGTCGCGAAGAACCATCCTTCGGACAGTGAATCAAATTGTATATAAACTGGTGTCTGTACATCTCCTTTGTTGTTGTCGGAGGAACCCACAATGGGTTTATGTTTTCGAATATTACTTATCAGGTGAATAAATTGCCGTAATTGTTGAAAATATCCAGGTGAGCGATATCGGCCCTGCTAGACACCCTGACTCATTATAAGGAATTTCATCAACAAAAAGAACGACTAGATAAATTGTATGCAAGTTTAATGATTTAACATATGTAACGTAAACAAACATTCTATCAATGAAAAGGAACAAAAATGGAATGTATATATATACATGTGTGTTGCTCAGATCCTTCATTACCTACGCCATGAACTAAAGGCAGTATACCTCTATCACTCCTATAAACAGTTATTGACAGATTCTTTCACTTGAACCAATCTATAGAAATTAATATTTTGTATTTGTGACAATGTTAGATGGATTTTCTTTTTGATAGGATTAAGTTGTGTCATAATAATTAAAGAGGCGCCAATAAAAAGCAAAAAAAGCAAAAATAAATCCGTTTCCCAGTTACATTTTGAGATCAACTACTTGTAAAGACTATGCTCATTATAGTCAAATAAATTAAAGTTTATCCCAATAATTTGTAGCCACAAAGCGTTTTGGTTGGTATAAAAATGGATCGACGTCGTGGTTAAACATACGGACCTTTTCCATTTAGTATAGATGGGATTGTAGTTATATATATATATATATATACATCGTTTTACTTAATTGACAAACGCAGTGTTTGAATATTCAACAACCTGTTCAGACTCTAGACAATAATGCTAGCCAGCTAATTTTTTCACATGCAATTACACGTCTAGACAGAAAAGTATTTGGAACACAAGTTTTGAACAGGCGTACCCATTCCGAACACTCATTCGTGCAGGATTTGCTTGCTAGTCCCTCACATTTCTAACACAGTGTGCTGTGTGTGTACACCCCGCCCCTTTTTATACTGTTCCATTCATAAATATACAACTCGTTCATCCTTTGGTCATAAAATAAGACATTTTCTAAGATCACTGCGTCAGGAGTTGTACCACTTCTGAAATAACAAATAAGAAATGTATAAGATAACTCAAATATAAATCAACATTTAACATGTTTAGGGCATGGCTGGATCAAAGCCTGGCTAGTTGGACTGCAATGTTATATGCAGTTTTCTATAGGATTTTAATTTGTCAACAACAGTTTTTTTTATAATCATATTAAAACTAACATCATGAAGAAATAGTACTTTTTTTTAATCTTTTCTCAAGATCATAAATTTACGAAAAGTATTAATTATTTTTCGTAAATATAAGATCTTGAGAAAAGATTAAAAAAACGAAAATACCATTTCTTCATAATGTTAGTTTTAATTAATATGCAACCTTATATATAAAATAAGTAGAGTATATCTTAATTTTATTTAAGGATCCCAGTTCTGCTGCAGGCAAACCTGAGGGTTAGTGTTCGAATCCTGGTCAGGCCGCGCTAAATATTAACATTCAGAACACTGCTGTTGATTGTCTTTTGCTAATTTAACCTTGTAATTTCTACATAAAAGTCCCAAAAGGTGTTTTTTCAGAAGTGACTTATACAATATTTAGACTATAGAATAAAAACAGTTTCCAGTGCCCATTGACAGTTTGGGCAGTGGTTCAGCTATCTTTAATGTTCTTAATTTGATTATCAATAAATGAGAGTAGTATGGTCGACTATATATACAATATATGTAAATGGATCAACCTTAGTAATTAGATTGGATAGTGACGTAAATGTTACCTTCATAGTTGAACTGGCCATCAACTGTCAGTTCAATTTCTCGGGTAAGTTCGTCCACCTCCTCATCTCTCAAAGGCTCTCCCAGGGTGGTAAGTACGTGTCGGATTTCAGACGCATTATTGTAGCCATTCCCGTCTTTGTCAAATATCCGGAAACAGTCTCGGAGAGATTCTGGCGTCTCGGTCAGTCCTGCGTTTTTCTGAACGATCCTCTTGCACTCCTCAATGTCAAACAACTTACCTCCCTTGCTGTTAGCTGAAACGAGATTACCTTAACATTTGAAAACAACTTTTAATAATTTGTGATTTTGTTTGTTTCTCTAACATAATGTCATAGAAACCTGAAATAGTTTACAGCAGTTAAATTTGGACCTTCCTGACAGGTAGGAAGTGAGCTATGGTTTAGGGGCTAAGATCACAGTCTATGTCATCCCATAATATTAATGGTATATCATCACAGTGGGGAGGATTGGGCAAGGTTTACCGACATGTGATCTAAACCTTTAAAACAAGCAAAGATACATCGAAATAAGTCCAAATATCTATCCTGTATTTGAATCCCGGTTCCCTGTGATTAAAATCCGTAATCAAATCAACTATATCAACCTGTCGACTTTACCAATTTTTGAGACCGGCAATTAAAAGTTCAACGTGGATTTTATGGCAAATGAATTAAGGTATGTATTAACTTATACAATATACTCGTGATTTTTGTAAGAGTTAGGCTACATACATGCTACGTATACCTTTAGTACACGTACTGGCGTTTGAGTTATCTCCCTTAACATATAAAATAATCAAAAAATTACCGGAGTGTTAATTATCAATGCCTTTCTTTCTTGTAAACCTTTTAAAATATGTCAATATTGAATAAAAAAAATACAGATGGTAAAGAATCTTTTTTTTAAATGTGGAATTATTTGAAAAAGTAATTTCAATTATTTAATAACTTTATACCCATGTTACTTTGCACTGCTCTCCACTCAACCCACGAAGATATATATATATACATGTAACACAGGGGCCGAACACATGTCCTTCACAGGGACTTGATAATTACTTGCAGCAGGTATGTTTGGCCCTATCCTAATGTGTCTGGAGCATTACAGTGTATATACCATTTTGTATAAGGTGGTATGAGGCATTTTGGAAAGGTATCTAGATATAAGTCCTATAACACATCAGGTTCGGTCGAACCAAACATAATGTCTTACATTTACCTAGATATCATGTCCCTGTGATTAAGGTCTGCTAATACCCTTAGACTAGAACAATGTTCAAAATAAATGTTTCCGGTCACTGTGTGACACCGGTAGTGCAAGAACTCCCAATATATTTGGTTAAACTTACCACTAGCGCCATACTCCTGTGCAATAGAGGCGAGCTGTGCCTGTGTCGGACTCAGTCCTATACTGCGCATGACACTGCCCAGTTCTGAAATGTTTATCTTGTGATCATCGTCTTTATCCTGGATCAGGTAGGCCTCTCTGAGCTCTGTAACATGCACCAAAACATTTGTGAGGTCGGACAGACATTACACTGCATAGTTGACGGTAAAAATTTAAATATGAATACCCCTGCTAAATCGGTTTGAAACTAAAACACTATTGGCAGTCATGACAATAAAATCGAATTTCAAATTGTAATTGCATGTTCATTGAAAAAAGCAAGTGTTCTCTCTTTTTTTACATACATTAAAATTGTAATATTAATTAACTGATTAATCATAGTGGAAGTTAAATTGGAGTACAGGGCCTATTATTGAAGCACATTGTCCATGAAAGACTTTCTTCCTTGCTTTTCGTAAAATAATTGAGTCAGTATATCGTGTCCTTACCAGTCATCATCTTTTCCATTCTTTGGGCCTTTGAAATTAAAAAAAAAGAAAGTATCAAAATTAGTTTTACCTCACAAAATAGTTCACAACAGTTCGTCCAATTTGCATATTTAATGTATAATTTATGACAAAAATCTCGAGTTACCTCCCTTTACCCACTAAAAGTCATAGAACATGTACATTATGTATTGTTTTACGGTTTCTTCGACAAAGCAAACATCACTGCTTCTTGTTTGAATTATTTAGCAGATAGAAACTATAGATGAACGTACGAGCTAAACACATGGGTGATTCACCGAGATATCGTGCTATTTTTAGATATACCTTGTACATGCACCAATGAGCTATCAGTAGCAAGTAGAGGCTATGTTGAAACAGACAGAGAAATATATGTTGTATCTAAATATACGCATAGTCATCAATGCATTTTATTGTTTTGTGTACTTGATATAAGAAATACTCAAGTTTAAAGTTCAGTTTTATGCATGATTTCGTTCAGTATGATCAATATCTTACAGTAGAATAGTCTTCAATCGTATACGTCTTAAATATCATTATGCCGTTGATTAATTATTTACATGTACAGTCAAGCTTCCCATTGCATATATATTGTTGCTGTGGAAACCCACACATGTGCAAAAAAAACGAATGCTGGCCAAGTCTGTCTGAAAACACATTATTGTAAGTGACTAATATGACCTTATTTTGATCAGGATGAAAGCTTGACGTGTGTAAATTAGTAATTAGCTGTGTCGAGGCGTACTGGATTTGTCGATACACGTTACATATGTACGTGTAAACTTGCTTATATGAACTATCACGAAACCAAGTAACGTATTATTCTGAGTATTGATCGTCGTGCAGGGCCGAACAGTGTTTGAACATAGGAATATCAAGGGGAGAAAAGATAGGCTGGTCTCAGGTAAACAAGTATGCGTCAACCGGTTTGAAGTACTTACCTGTACGACCGACCACACCTATACAGGTAGAATATCTGTGTGAGCTACCTGTTAGTGACAATATCTAGAAACATTGTAAATATAACACTATATATTCGTCCATTGTAAATACATTTTGTGTAAAACACAACATCCTTACCATGTCTGAGCGGGTTGTTGGTGATCGGTATAAGAATGGCTGTATAATAGTTCCGTCAGGTGTTGCACAGACCAACGCGCCAATAGTGTGATTACACCGGTGTCGAGTGAAACAACGTCCCAGGAACGCTTGGCTGGGCGGGCGGTATTTCTGGGTCACCCCATTATAGCACAGTACATAGAGCACCAGATGGTGTGCCGTAATGTTTCCACAGGGGGCTTACTTTAACAAAAATTCTTGTAGGGCACCGATTTCACGATAAAAGGATCTTTAAAATTGATCATATTTCGCTAGAAGAATTGTTTTGTTGTAAATTGCAGATAATACATGACGACCGGAACAAACTACTAGCAGTTACAAAGTGTACCTGTTTTTCAGGACACACGCAGAGTGACAACGAAAACTATTTTAGCTTATAGAAAATTAATAATTAAAACAATAAATAGAATAAAACCCTCACCTAATACCACCATTAAGATATAAGGACATAAATTAACCAAATCAACTCAACCGATATACTTATCAATTACAACATTGCGAGTTTTATATTATTATATATTTGGCAAGACTTTTTAATCAAGTTCAATCAACTAATGATAATCACTTTTGTTAAGTAAAATTACATTCCACAACAGTTGTAGTAAAAATGATTTCAACTGGGCTAAAGCAGTAAGAGATGAATTAAATAATCTAGGTCTTAGTGATGTTTGGTTAAATCCATGTATTTCTGAGCATAATATGTTATTACCATTGATAAAACAAAGACTTTTTGATCAAGGCATACAATTCCTAAGGGCCTCAGTGGAAAACTATCCAAAATGTTGTATAAAAATATCATAGATTTTGGAGAATCATTACAATTTTATCTCACAAAATATGTACCAATGAAATATCGCATTTGTTTAACCCGAATCCGTACAACTACACATTCTTTGGCTGTAGAAGTTGGAAGGTATACTAATATACCTAGAGAACGTAGATATTGTAAACAGTGTAACTCCCCCTCTGAAGTAGAGGACGAATTTCATTTTTTATTAGTCTGTTCTAATTTTCCAAAATCTCAGATCACGTTTTATCAAAAGATATTATTGGAAAAAAACATCTGTGTTTAAAGTCGTTCAGTTATTGAGTGTCCATAATATTAAAGAATTGTTTATACTAGGAAAATTCATCTATGCGGCAAACAAATTAAGGGTATTATAATGGAATATGATTGTCTTCATTCTCTGTACATTGTCCATGATTTGTGTATAATATGTATTGTATACTGATGGGCCAATGGCCTAAAGTTCGAATAAAACTTGAAACTTCATATTTCAATATCTCCGTTAATGGGGCGCAAACAGATTCAATTAGACGCACTGAGAGGGTGCCGCAGGGAAAATTTCAAACCGCAGAAAGTACAATAGGTTTAAACTCATTCATAACGATGTTTGAATTGCTTCCGGGAGAAGATTTCTCAATTACAGATTAAAAACGCCAAGAAAACATTGTCTTTTGTCAATTTCTTTACATAAATTGTTCATAATGAGTATCAAACTATATAACTGTGAAGAATTTTGTGCCTAGGTTATAGAAAAAACTTATTTCACTAAATTGTCCGTTTAAGGTGAGAACCCCTCTTTAAGATGTACGTTTTTGTAACTGTATGTTTTCTTTCTACTTCTAACAACTATTATGTTCCAAAGTGCCTCCTCTTTGGCCTTGGTATTGAACGTTTGCTTAAAAGTGAGGAAGGCAATGGATTTTGTCGCCAGGGCTGAGACATACCAAAGTCTTTAAGGTGGTTGCTGTTATTCTCTGCTTAACGTTCAGCATTTAGGATAATAGCAATAACTTGTTTACCCATTACTCTGCTGGGAGCCTTCGACATGATATTTTTGGGTGAGATAGCACTATAAAGTCGGCATCAGATCTGTGCTGTCACAAAGAGGCAAAGTGAACATACCCTGCCTCCAGCACACAATCACCCACATCACATCACACACATGCAAGCACGTCCTTCAAAAAAGACCTTAGCTGTTAGAAGGACATCAAAACAAAATAAAAACTAATGTAACCGATCACACAATGACATGTATGCCTAAAAGCACAGTTCAAACACTAATGTACGATGGTTTTAGTCGCTGGTAAGGTATAAAGGCTTCTAACATTTCAGCTTAAATCAAGTTCGGGCTATAATTTTAAAACAACAAGCTTAAACCTTACTTTCATTTCATTTTCTTTAACTTGACTTGTAGTCTTGCAGGTCACCTCACTCCCACCTATCCTCTTCATGCCGATCGGCATTTAAGGCCCGGATACATTCTTTCTATTTAACACGGTCTGTATCTGTTGTCCTCGCTGTAGCCCATCCAAGTGCCGTTCTTTCTGTCTCGACAGTCCGTCTCCAGGTGATTTAGGGACATCCAACCTTCCTTTTCCCCTTTGGTCTTGCATGTACCGTCATTGAATTTTTTATGTAGATTACAAATATGGGAAGACAGAGTGTCTCCAACCTATAGTTTAGATATTTCAGCTTTAATCAAACAGTTATTTGCTGAATTATAATGTAAAGATTCACTCCTATGTTTACTTAGCGTTAACACAACACGTGTTTGTATTATCTACGTTAAAACTCGTTGTACAGTTGATGCCAATCATTTCTTATACATGTAATGCTATGACAAGGCGAGTGTTGTATGATCATCGTACACGCTTTATGCTTAAAATCAATTTAAAATTAAAAAAATAATTACGTTATTACAGGACGATATACATGTATATAATATAAGTTCGTTGATATGAGTCCAAAACAGTCAGGAAGCTTTATGAAAAAAATCTTGAGTTAGGCACAGTACAGTTGTTTTAAAATTATTATGCCAAAATTTAAAGCCTTTATCTTATCACATATGTGTGTAGTTTTAAGAGAAATAGTCTGGGTTCGATATATCTTTAACTACAGTTCAAATAAAAGACGTTGTGATTATTTGACGTTGATTGCATACCGCTATCCCCTCCGTCAAATACCTGAGTTGATGAGTTTGTAAATATCTTTGGCTGTTGGTGTGACTCCCTAAGACACAATATTCGCCGAAATTATTCTAACCTACAATGCAATTTGATGAGTTATCAGACATGAATTTATTCGTTTTCGTGATATATAACACGTGATCCCACCATTTGTGGTACGATATAATTTATGAACCAGAGGTATACAATCCCTATTTAGTCTTGCGAATGTTTACAGAGGTGAATGTATATCACCTATTCAGTCTTTGCTTATTGCAGAGTTATCTTCTCTTGGGAGCAGGTATTGATTGTTACGTCGTTGGGTTGTTCGAGAAAATTACGTCGTTTTCTCAAAAATTGATGACGTTACTCTCACAAACAAGTGACGTAACAATCAATACCTGCTCCCAAGTTAAGAGAACTCTGCAATACGCAAAGACGGAATAAATGGACCCTGCCGTAAGAAGATACTGATTTTGTACACCACATTAAAAAATTAGACTCTGTTGTCAATCGAGTCCTTATCTTAAGTTGAATGTGCCGTTTTCCATTTGGCATTCATTTAACCTATAAATGCCAAATGGAAGTAGTAATAATAATAATAACAATATACAACATTTGCGCCACTCTAAATCGCTTCACAACAGTATATAGAGCTGCCTTATCAGGCGCTGACTACTAGTCCTATACCAAGTAGTCCAGTACTTCTTTTTACCATTTAGGGAATATGTTTATCTCATAGAAAAATGAATTTACCTATTAAAAGATTCAGCTTTTGCTCAATTTGGTGTTTGCATCGTATATGGTTTTTCCCCAATTAATACAACGGTAGGAATATTCCGCAAATACCATCAAATGTTAGTAGACGTCATTATATTGTTTTTATTGTATTTATTTTCTGGTTGATATCGATCAGCTCACGTTATGTTTGGTGGAGACAATATTAATCTATTGTTTTACTGTAATTATTTTTAATAAACATCAGACGCTTTAATGCGAGTTACATCCCCTCGTCCATAGTTCATTGATAAATACAGTTCGAAATCTTGTATCAAAAAATTAAAATTAACATAATCGTTTTTGAATTTATTGTCAGATTGTCTTCTATTTGAAACTTTATCCCACTGTATCTGAATTATCACGAATTTGACGTAATAACTGTGTGATCTTGACAGTTTCGGGGTTACAGCATTCTGTTTTTACGGCGTCGCATATTCTTCTGAAGAAATCATAAAATAGGCAATGACGTCATCAATATTTTACTCTTAGTTACTTTACTGTAATTGACTAGATACGACATGACTATACCGTTGCAAATTGAATATGGCCCTACATTACTCCCAAACCTTGTGATTTAGTTAAGCAATACAAATGCCGTTAGTATTGCATCTTTCACCTGTATCCGTAGGTCATTTGGAGAGGGAAGTGACTAATCTTGCTTTCATAAATATCAGACACTTTTTATGCTATTGGGTATTTATGGACAAACGGAGAACATAACTTTTAGCAGGTGATTTCGGTACAAAATATAAAGGGTATGTTTTTTAAGACTGCACCTGTCTTACGTAATATACCTTTAGGCTTATCAAGATGCGTTGAGTGTATGTGTTTTGCTAAGATACTAGACGTTGGTAGATACAGTTGATATTCTGTGTTATTGACCTCTGACGTTTCACTCCAATTATGTCAATCTGATAACGTGTTATGTTCTTGACACGTGTTTACAGGTGTGAGCCAAGGTAAACTACAGTGTACTTGTAATGTGTACATTATCATTTAAGAAGGGATAATAAAACGATCGTGTAACCTCGATTGGGATGATAGCCGGGTACTGTGGTTTCTGGACCGAAGTTAACCGTGAGAAGGTATGGGGACATACACTTGTGTACGCGTATACGTTATCAGTAATGTTTAACAGTAAATGTCTGCTAAGTTTCCATTCTGATTATTATTCTTGTCAGAAAACAATACAACCCCGTTATTCTGCCACCATTTAGCTTATCTAATGAATTATGAAGATTATATAGCATCAAATGCTAGAAAGATATTTCAACATGTCAGTTACATGTATTTGTTCGCTTATTGTGCACATCTCTTGCAGAAATACGTCATGTATTTTAATTAGGATATCTCCCATGTCGTGTGCTTACTATCTTGTACAGCATGTTATAGTAAATAGTTTGTATTATTGTTTTTGTCTTACTCTCTAAGTAAACAGTATGTTTGTCGACTGAGTACAAGATCGACAGCTTATGTTACATGTATGTGTATCTATTGTAAAAATTCGACGTGAGATAAAGTTCCTCGTATCTTGAATTATTCGCTTTTTCAGAATCGTCAGTATCTGGATGGCATCAGCGATACGACCACAGCGCCTGTAATACGTGTATATACTGGCATTTTGTCTTTGTCGGTTTGAGATACTGAATTTGCCTATTTTCGTTACATGGCCATAACAAATAGAAACAGCGTTTAAAGAACAACGAACACTAAGACGATAACACATACTTTGATTGGGAGGACATCTTGTTTCATGTTTATCACCAGAACGCTTGACAGTCCGTTTTATTTAACACAGTAAATGCATACGAATCAATCGCTTAAGTGAGTATGATTGTTGTAGTGCTGCTCAGTAAAATCCGTTGCATCGACGATAAACACATGGAACACAGTAATCATTCGATAACACGTTTAATTGGAAGAATAATCTGCTTCTTATCTGCAAGCAAACACTTATCACTGGCATTATACTTAATCAGGAAACTGACATCGTCCAATTTAAATGGCATATTAATCAACAAACCATAATAACAATTCATCATAACTTGCACGTATATGTTCTAAAACTGAACATTATAAATTTACATTTTTAGGACAATTTAAGAACACTTTTCTTGTCATTGTCTTTTTAGAACTGTTCATAAGCAGCATTGGGTTACAGTATAATGTACATAAAAAATACGGCACGTGTGTGAGAAGACAGGGCAGGGCGTACGCAAGTACTTTTCTCATTGTTTTCAACAAATACATGGAATAGTTGGAGCACCTGCCATCAAGAGTCAGTCTCGGCCTATAGTGCTGTACAGTACGTAGACAGAGTAGACTGCAGTTATACAGAAGTTACTGTAAGGACGTCACGTGGCAAAGCGATCGGGTACAGGGCCGAAGTACTCTACTGAACAGCCTCTCTCATCACAGGAGCGCCACCAGGCGAGCGTTAATTGTTCCCGAGGTGGCAAAGTTCAGATTGTTGTCATTTTTCACAAACAAGATACAAAGAAAACACAACAATTGTGGGAAAGAAGGCTACAAAAATCGGCCTGTCTAGGATTAAGTAATTCACCTGATCCACATCTATTGTCGTTAATGGGAAAAGAAATCACGCCATGTACACCTCTGGTCGGGCTACAAGCTAAGCTTCCTCCCCTTAAGATGTAATTCATGGTTCATTATTCACGTGTTTTTTGTATTTATTTCATTTCCTTCATGACGTATGTGTAGATGTGGTATTATGGTATCATTTTATTTCAATGCACACGAAGCAAATTCAAGATCTCTGCTGGTTTTGACCCGTAGGCCAACCCCCCTCAGTAACGTTGGTTTTACACACACTCTGATGACGTCCTACACAGTATGCCATCTGAAAAAATGATGACGTTTCAGAAACAGAATGTCCTGATGTAGAATGAATTTTCACTATCTCAGATAGAGACATATGTTGTTACTTACCGAGATTTTGATGTGTCAGCGATGAAACAGAAGACGCTTACTCTCCGGGATACATGGTCTTATTCTTCTACTTTTTTCAAGGTTTTCCATGTATGAATTTCTTTTGTTCAAAGTTTGACTTAGTTTTATTTTTTTTGAGTTCGTATTATCATTTTGTTGATACTTTGGTATTCTCTTGTTGTCTTTTGTACACAACGAGTGCTGACCGTTCTACATACAAAAGTTCATTACAAGTTCAAAGTGAAAACAAGGATAAAAAATACTTCTGAAATATTCATATGGGCAACTACACATGTATGATCTCAATCTTCAGAACAACCCGCCATATACATTTTGAAGGTCATGGTGAATATATATTAGGAATCAAGGGTGAAGGTCACATTTGATTTCGGAACAAACATCACGGTCTTGGGTCGTCAAACGTCAGTTAGACGGCGGAATGGCGTGCTAATCCAAACTGTACATATTTAGTCAATTTTGTAGTAAATATTTTGTATATTATAATAATATTTACATAAATATTTCCATATGTATTATACATGTAAAGAAGACACCTCAGTAACTGTTATATAAGAGACAACAGACCACGCTACGCCGCTCGTTTCGTGTACATACATACCTATATGTCTGTATGTAGTTACACATGCAGAGCAAGTAACGTGATACCCCTCTGATGGGCACAACACGGCCGGCAGATTGACTTAGAAAGCGGTGGTACCCACGGTTGACAAACTTTCAGCTCTGTCGTTCCCTGTATTGTGTAGATCGGGTGTTGGTATGTGGGAATACATACGGGAGTGGTGGGATATATAACTACATGTCGTAATTTAAGTTTAAAAAGGAGGTTAAATTGACAGAGGTAAATTCTGTTGTGCGGAATGCTACATATGACGCGTCATCGGGAACTTCTCAGTCCGACTTACGCCCAGTGTTTGGAGGAGTAGGCCCACGTTCTGTAATTCCTGGCAGGGTGCTAAGTAAGGGACGGCTGCCGCTAACCTTTCCTCCTGTCACATCCCAGCCACGCTTACACTACCTGGTCGTCAATATGGTAAGTCTGCGCATCACGACGCTACGTGTGTCATTCCAACCTCCACGTCGTCATCTTAGGCCAAGGGCGCCATCTTTTATAATCTCTCTTACATGTTTTGTGGTTGTTATCCCTCTATGAGAAAGGTGATTTATCCTGGTATCGGTATCTCATACACTAGAGAGTTATCGGTTACAAATTGTACCATTAGTTTCCTCCACTGTGTCTGGTCCACGATATCCCCGCGCACGTGTGCATGTTCTGGATAATATACTAATATATATTGCAATGGCCAGACCTACGCCGTGTAGGCCACGTTTGCATTAGTGTATGTCTGCAATTGCATGCGTTTACTATTTTTCTTTTACTCACGTTTTTTTGTGTCTATGTATATATATATTTACGTCATCATCTACAATGCCATAGTGACGTTTCTTGACGTCATACGGTATATACACAAGTGTATAAATACTACACATGAATGACTGATAGTAAGTTCGAAATCTTATTACGCACGTAATGAAACACAAAAGAGCTAAAAGACAAGATAAATAAGACTCCTTGTTCATTCATGAAAATTATAATTCCTTTTATCTAATGACATATTTGATGAGACCTATTCATAATGTTTACACCTATGCTTGGTAATTAAAATATTGCAAACATGTTTACAGCTTATGCAAGTTAAGATCTGTCTTGTTTCATTTCTATTTAGCAAATAGACACATTGTTCAAATAGCAATTATTTATATTTTAAACGTATCTGTCTGTCTTTTAATTTCAACTAATGTCTAACTATTGCTGCTTTTTTTGTGCATACTGTCAATGGAACGACATTAACGGAAGAGCTCACTGATTCAAAGCTATTTCTTTTATTTCACGTGGACTGTCGAGCGTCACATTGACACATATGAAGATGGTAGCGTAAGCTTACGATACCACGTCACGCCAGTAAAGTTTAAAGTGATAGGAACGCAACATCAATTTGGTTGGTTCATACAGTGAACATGAAACGAATTTTTTTTTTTTATAGTGTATCAAACAATATGTTATATCAAAATGTGTAAATAATGTTGAGTTTTTTTTACACGTAATGATCATCGAGCACATGACATGGATAACTTAGCCTTGATCGTGTGACTAACAAACATTATATTACAGTTCTGTCCATACTGGAATTCCGCCCTTTATTGCCATGGCGATGAAAAGGCGTGCCATACTCTGCTGCCTGCACATGTGTGCGCGTTAACGATGTTCACGTTTTTACGACTGCGGTCTGTTAATGAGCACATGTACATGCATTTTTACAATCCATAGTCATTTTTTTCTAGCGCGTTACTCGTATCTTCCCGTTTGTGTGGCTCATTTTCCCATCTGTCCCGAAGCTAATGTAAAATAATTATGGCAGGCCAGGGATATTTGAAGGCCACGGTGCATATGGTTGTTTTCAGTAGTCGATCTATAGTTCCTAATACATGTACTGTCTAGTAGGTCTCTGGGTGGAATGGTCCTGGGACTAGTTTACTTAAGGTGGATCCGTAATAAGTTCCAGGTACTGCAGTTCACATGGACGGGTTTGTGGACACCATGTACATTGTTACCCTTAAAAACAACCCAACTGGGAACTGCTGAAGGTTCACACTTTAAAAACGATATGCTCGAGTGGGAGAGATTATGATATTGGTTATCAAGGAGTAGAAGATATACCGTTTCGGGATTGTGGGTTGGAATATATACAATTTGGGATTTAAGAATGGTCTGGATAAACATTGGGATTTAAGGAGTGGGAGAGATGCACTTTGGGAATTAAGGATTGATAGAGATACGGTTTGGTAATTCAGGAGTGGTAGGGATTGTATTTTGGGATTTAAGGACTGGTAGAGATACAGTTTTGTATACATTTTGGGAATTAGGGAGTGGATACGGTTTTGTTATTAAGGATTGGTAGAGATACAGTTAAATTATCAAAGAGTGGTAAAGAAACCGTTTGTTTATAAAGAAGTGGTAGAGATAGTGTTTGTTTATAAAGAAGTGGTAGAGAAACCGTTTGTTTATAAAGAAGTGGTATATAAACCGTTTGTTTATAAAGTAGTGGTAGATAAACCGTTTCTTTATAAAGAAGTGGTAGATATACTGTTTGGTTATAAAGAAGTGGTAGATATACCGTTTGTTTATAAAGAAGTGGTAGATAAACCGTTTGTTTATAAAGAAGTGGTAGAGAAACCGTTTGTTTATAAAGTAGTGGTAGATATACCGTTTCTTTATAAAGAAGTGGTAGATATACTGTTTGGTTATAAAGAAGTGGTAGATATACCGTTTCTTTATAAAGAAGTGATAGAGGTACCGTTTGTTTATAAAAAAGTGGTAGAGATACCGTTTGTTTATAAAGAAGTGGTAGAACCGTTTGTTTAAAAAGAAGTGGTAGAGATACCGTTTGTTTATAAAGAAGTGGTAGAGATACCGTTTGTTTATAAAGAAGTGGTAGAGATAACATTTGTTTATAAAGAAGTGGTAGAGAAACCATTTGTTTATAAAAAAAGCGGTTGTTATAAAGGAGTGGTAGAGATACAGTTTTGTTATTCAGGAGTGATACGGATACATTTTGGAAATTAAGGAGTGGTAGAGATACACTTGAGGAATTAAGGAGTGGTAGAGATACACTTGAGGAATTAAGGAGTGGTAGAGATATATTTTGATTATCAAGGAGTAGTAGAGATACAGTTTGGTTATCAAGGAGTGGTAGAGATACACTTGGTGAATTAAGGAGGGGTAAAGATATATTTTGGTTATTAAGGAGTGGTAGAGATATATTTTGGTTATGAAGGAGTGGTAGAGATAGTCTTGAGGAATTGAGGAGTGGTAGAGATAAACTTGAGGAATTAGGGAGTGGTAGAGATAAACTTGAGAAATTAAGGAGTGGAAGAGATACAGTTTCATTAACAAGGAGTGGTAGAGATACACTTGGGGAATTAAGAAGTTGTAGAGATACAGATTTGTTATTAAGGAGTGACAGAGATACGCTTTGGGAATTAAGGAGTGATAGGGGTACAGTTTGGTTATTAAGGAGTGGTAGAGGTACAGTTTGGTTATTAAGGAGTGGTAGAGGTACAATTTGGTTATCAAGGAGTGGTAGAGATACACTTGGGGAATTAAGGAGTGGTAGAGATACACTGGGGGAATTAAGGAGGGGTAGAGATAAACTTGAGGAATTAAGGAGTGGTAGAGATACACTTGGGGAATTAAGAAGTTGTAGAAATACAGTTTTGTTATTAAGGAGTGACAGAGATACGCTTTGGGAATTAAGGAGTGATATAGGTACAGTTTGGTTATTAAGGAGTGGTAGAGATACAGTTTGGTTATGAAGGAGTGGTAGTGTTACACTTCGGTTATTAAGAAGTGGTAGATATACATTTCGGTATAAAATATTAGAAGAGATACACTTTTGAAATGTTTGGATGGAATTCGTGAATTAAAGGGTTACAGTCAACATATTAAGGAATAATAGAGATACCGGGATAGTTGGGGTGGGGGATGCCTTTTTGGTTACACAATTTGAACTCCGGCAAAAGTTTTGTTTTCTCAAAAATAGTTTTGTTTGACGTTTTATTTGATAGGTTTGTCTATAGAGATGTTCTGTTATCTAGCCGCATTCTATGATACGACACCTTTTTGTGAAGAGATTATATATATACCGTCTGTACCTGTATAGCCATGATATATACCGTAATGATTGCAGTGGTGCATTGTATGCTATATGAGGATGCGGATTCGAAAATACAACTTAGCCACCATGTCCTTTCAGTTGCAGAATTGTTTTTATTGCTTCTCAAAAGCAGTTGTAGTTATTGACTCTAAATCAATGTAATTGACGTGAGCGTTAAGACCCGTCGGGCCTCTTATTTACATTCACTTGGACGTTTTGATTTTATCTCTAGACACTAGTTCTTTGATCATCGTCCCACCTTGTCATTCCTGTCATTTTGCGTCCTTTTATGCCTTTCCCATAATGCACCATCATTGAATACACTAAGAGTAATGAAGAGAATGACACGGTAAAACACTTTACGTAACAGGAACCTGCCGATCGCAGCATTTGGTTATTTTCTCTATTCACCTGTCCTGTTATCAACAACCGATCTCTTGGTCAACAATGTACGTATAAAAAAAGAATTGCAAATTGGCTTTCAAAGACCACATAAGACCGTCTTTGCTGCCAATCCATGCTATTACGGGCTATTGATTTGCTTGCCTTTCGAATACAGGACCAGCCTATGTACTGCCGTGAAACAAGCGTTCACTTACTTATAGAAAGGGAAAAAACCTACATTTACATGCGTGGCCATGGTTTAGAATAGGCTTTGCGTTTATGTCTTTAAATGATTTAGTCTACAATAAGGCTGGGGAATTGTTCTTAGGAATTTATATGACCACGCTATACAAATTTCAACATTCAACAGTGATGTATGTTCACGTTTTCGACAAATAAATATCCCTAACGATCCTTTGATGGAGATTGTTGATCATTTGTGCACGCCCGCAAAGCTAAATTATTGAGTGACGTAACCCCTTATATAGCAAGCCGGAGACGTCCATTTGGAAAGAACAACGAAAATATGTTTTCTTTTTGCTTAGTTTAATGGCCACGACCCAAACAATGATCACCAGGGTGGCAAATTTCTTGTATATCACCGACGGCCTTTGGATTTTACGTGTTGAAAACTTCATGTTTAATTCGAATTTTTGTCCAGGAGAGTAAGGTGTTAACCTGAAAATATCGTGATGGAATAGAATACACGTGATATTGCGTGTGCGACCTTCACGTGGGGCCATGTTTTATTTTGTTTTGCTAACTTGTGAGGTAGCAACAGATCAGCTTTGAAATGCTGAATAACACCGGCCGTTTCATTATTTCGGCGCCTTACTACAATGCTGTTTTATTAAATAGACAGCAAGCGAACCATTCGGTATACATAACTGTTATAGCATCACCCATCGGTATAAAACAATAGAATGCTAATTCA